AGAAAATATTTGTATTTCGTCTTTTAAAATTAATTTACCAGCTTTTAAATAATTTAATGTTCTTCGTATTGGTGCTTGACCAATCATAAATGGCATTTTGATTGTTTTTTAAATTAAAAATTGTTTGAAATAACCTGATTCTTTGTTACTTTTTATGCAGATATATGTATACTTAATGAGCTATAAAATAAAATATTTTTATCGATAAATATTAATTGTTTAAATGATTCATTATTAATTTAAATATTAATATTAAATATTTTTAATAAAAAGAATATTTTTAATTTTAACAATGAAATTAATAATTTTTACTATTCTAATACAATAATATTTCTAATTTCATATTTAAATCAAATTTACATATACTGTAATATATATTTTTAAAAATATTTTTGGTTATGTTAATATTTAAGTAAGATGTATTACGCCACCGTTAATGCAGTCAAAGAACTGAAATTACGGTGCATTTGCCACCGGTATCATATGTTCCAGATATTTTCTTCCTTTCTCTTCTGAAATATTTTATCATTAGTTGTAAAGTCCAGCTGCTTTAACATAATTGAGTAATTATTAATAATAATTAGAGTGAGTTATCATTTAATGTTTATTTATACATTATAATTTTATAATATTGTAATATAAATAATAATTTCAAAAATTAAATATATAATTTTTTAATTAATATTTGTTACTTGAATATTTTGTTTATTTTTAATTTTTGGCATTATTAACCATATGTTTAAGTTTCTTTATAAAAATTTTATTACATATTGCTTAATTTTAAAAATAGGATAAAAAAGAAGAGGAAAAATAAGAAGAATAGATCAATATGACTACAATGATGACTGCCAAACAAATTCGGCAAGCTTATATAGATTTTTTTAAAAATAAAGGCCATGAATATGTACATTCTAGTTCTACAATACCACATGATGATCCAACTTTATTATTTACAAATGCTGGAATGAATCAAGTATTAACAAAATTATTATTGTTTCTAGTTATATAAAATATAAAATATAATTTTTATTCATTATTTTTATTTGTTTTAGTTTAAACCAATATTTTTAGGAATAGTGGATCCTAATAGTGATATGGCAAAATTAGTGAGAGTTGTTAATAGTCAAAAATGTATTAGAGCTGGAGGAAAACATAATGATCTAGATGATGTTGGAAAAGATGTTTATCATCATACTTTTTTTGAAATGATGGGCAATTGGTCTTTTGGAGATTATTTTAAAGTAATATATTAATCATATAATGCATAATTTATTTCAAAATTATTATTATTTCTATATTTACAAACTATTATTTAATTTTTATATTTACAATTGATTTTATAGAAAGAGATTTGTACCTGGGCTTGGGAATTTTTAACTGTTAAATTAAAATTATCATCAGATCGATTATATGTAACTTATTTTGGAGGAGATGAAAAAAATAATTTAAAACCTGATGAAGAATGCAAACAAATTTGGCTTTCTTTAGGGTATATTTTATATTTTATTTATTATATATATATAATATTATATATATTATTATATTTAATTTTTATTATGTTAAAATCATTATAAATAATTTTATTTTCTTTCTTAGTTTATCTCCTACACATATATTACCAGGAAATATGAAAGATAATTTTTGGGAAATGGGTGAAACAGGTCCATGTGGACCTTCTAGTGAAATCCATTATGATCGCATTGGTAATAGAGAAGCAGCTCATTTAGTAAATCAGGATAATCCAGATGTTTTAGAAATTTGGAATCTTGTATTTATACAATTTAATAGGTCAGTAATTTTTATAATATATAAAATAAATTCTAATTTTTTAATGTTACACATTATTTTAGAGAAAATGATGGAAATTTGAAATTATTACCAAAGAAACACATTGATTGTGGTCTAGGTTTAGAAAGATTAGTATCAATTATACAGAATAAATCTGCAAATTATGATACTGATTTATTTATGCCACTTTTTGATGCAATACAAAAAGGAACAAAAGCACCATCTTATCAAGGGAAGGTTGGTAAGGAAGACAAAAATGGCATAGATATGGCATATAGAGTTTTGGCTGATCATGCAAGAACTATTACAATTGCTCTTGCAGATGGGGGTATACCTGACAATACTGGTAGAGGGTAAATTTATTATATTTATTTATTTATATTTTTTAATCTATATATATTAACTGAATTTTAATCAATTTATTACTTATTATTATTATAATTTATTATTTATTATTTAATATTAATAAAACTTCAGATATGTATTAAGAAGGATTTTGAGGCGTGCTGTACGTTATGCAATTGAAAAATTAAATGCTAAACCTGGATTTTTTGGATCATTGGTGAATGTTGTGGTAGATCTTCTTGGTAAATTTTTTTATTTTAATTTTTAAATTTTATATATCATTTATAAAATAATTATTTATTAAAAGTTTTTTTATTATGAAAATGTAGGTGATGTTTTCCCAGAAGTAACAAAAGATCCACAACATATAATTGATATTATTAATGAAGAAGAAACTCAATTTCTTAAAACTTTATCACGCGGTCGTAATTTATTAAATCGTACCATAGTAAAATTAGAATCATCAAATATTCTTCCGGGTGACGTTGCATGGCGTTTGTATGATACATATGGTTTTCCTTTTGATTTAACACAACTTATGGTTGAAGAGAAGGGCTTAAAAGTAGATATAATTGGCTATGAAGAAGCAAAAAAACAAGCACAGGTATTATAAGAAATATTTTATATTAGTTGTAATTTCAAAATTTAATTTTTATAAAATTATAAAAATTATTTAATATCTCAGCTTATTTCTCAAAATAAAAGTGGTGAAGTAGATGATCAAATTAATTTGGATGTTCATGCAATTACTGAATTACAAAATAAAAAAATTAAACCTACAAATGATATACCAAAATATAATTACAAAGTTATAAATAATAAAATATATGAAGAGTACGAATTTGCTCCATGTTTTAGTACTGTAATTGCTCTTAGACGTGCTAAAACTTTTGTCGATGAAGTATCATCAGGAGAAGAAGTTGGAATTTTGTTAGATCAAACTAATTTCTATGCAGAACAAGGTGGACAAATATATGATGAAGGATTTTTAACGAAAATCGATGATGAAGTAAATAACATTTAATAAATAAATAACATTCTTATAAATTTACAATATACTTAAATGTAAATAATAATTCTTATTTTTCAAGGATACTGAAATTCATGTAAAAAATGTTCAAGTCAGAGGTGGTTATGTTCTACATATTGGAATTGTCATTCAAGGAAAATTGAAAAAAAATGATAAAGTATTTTCTAACATAGATATTACACGAAGAAGACTTTTGATGAGCAATCATACTGCAACTCATGTTCTTAATTATGCTCTTCGTGAAATATTAGGTACAGAAGTGGATCAAAAAGGTTCTTTAGTTGCACCTGATCGCTTACGTTTTGATTTCACAAATAAAGGTTTGTCAAAAATAATTATAAAAATATATTTAAAAATAATATAATTTAAAAATAATAATTTAAAAATATTTCAAAATCTATATTTTAAATATGTTTTTATAGGAGCGATGATTACAGAACAAATAAGAAAGGTAGAAGAAATAACGAATAATATAATAAATGAAAATAAAATAGTTTATGCTAAAGAATGTAATTTAGGACTAGCAAAAACGATTCAAGGTTTACGTGCTATGTTTGAAGAAACTTATCCTGATCCTGTAAGAGTTGTTAGTATAGGTATACCAGTTGAAGATTTAGAAAAAAATCCTTTAAGTTCTGACGCATTAAAAACTAGTGTAGAATTTTGCGGTGGAACGTAAATATTTTAATTTATTTACTAACAAACAATACAATCTATAAACATTTTTTAATATCAATTTTCTTTTATAGACATTTACATTATACAGGACATATTAGAAATTTTATTATAGTTAGTGAAGAAGCTATTGCTAAAGGTATTAGACGTATAGTAGCTTTAACTGGTCCTGAAGCAATGAAAGCTCAAAAAAAGACATCAATATTACAAAATTATTTAGATGAACTTCAAATATCTATTGAAGCTGATAAAAATGGTATAAATACAAAAGAACATATAAAAAAAATAGTTGAATTAACAGATGATGTTTCACATGCTATTATTTCAAGTTGGAAGAAGGTATATTTTATTTATGTTTGTATTTTTGATATATGTATATTTAATATATATATATATTGCATTAAAAATATTATTCATTCAAACATAGGATAAAATACGTAAAATATTAAAAGATTTAAAAAAGTTACTTGACGATAAAGAGCGTGCAATCAAAACTGCGATAGCCAATGTAGTTTTAGACAATATTCAACAAATAATTCAACAAAATATTGGATGTTTAGTATTAGTCGAAGTATTACAAGCATATAGTAATACAAAAGCTTTAGATTCTGCTCTTAAAAAGATAAGAACTATATCACCAGAGACAAGTGCATTACTCATAAGTATCGATCCTGATGCGAAAAAGATTTTTGCACTTAGTTCAGTTTCTAAGGTAAGACAAAATAGGATATGCAATTAAATAAACTATTTAAATAAAAATGAAAATAATATTTTTATCGTTATATTTTATATATAATAGTCTGCTATAAATAAAGGATTAAAAGCAAATGAATGGATTCAAGAAATTGTTCCACTTATGGAAGGAAAAGGAGGTGGAAAATCTGAATCTGCTCAGGCTTCGGGTACTAATATATCATGTGTAACAAGATTAATATATACAGCTAAAAATTTTGCTAATTCAAAGCTTGAACTAGCAGGTAGAAATTAATCTATTATATATAAATATAAATATGTTAAATAATGGAAAACTATCTTTGAATCTAAAATATTTTCAGAAAATATAAGTGAAAATCATGATCAATTGAAAGGTGATGAGAAATTTATATATTTTAAAACTCTAAAAGATAAATTAGTACTTTCTGGTGATATTGGAAGTATTAAATATTATCGTATCCAAATAGTTGCTAAATATAACAATATAGAATTGATTACACATAAAAATAATATATTCAAAGGTATTAAATTACAAGGAAATGATTTTGAATTGTTTGATAGTAATGCAATTGCTTTTTATTTATCAACTGATCAATTCAAATGTTCAAACAATCCTTTTACATTTAGTGAAGTTTTACAATGGTTAAGTTATGCAGATAATCACATTTTACCAGCAGTACTTGGATGGGTTGTGCCATGTCTTTCAAAAAATATTCCAAACAATATCAAAACAAATATTAAGATATCTAAAGAAGATGTTCTTTCTTCTTTACAGAAATTAAATAATATATTATTAACAAAAACTTATTTAGTTGGAGAAAGAATTAGTCTTGCAGATATTAGTGTTTTTACTACTTTAATGCCATTATATGAATATGTTTTAGATTCAGAATATAGAAAACAATATACGAATTTAAATAGATGGTTTTTTACTATCTTAAATCAATCTCAAGTAATTAGTGTGATAAAAAAATTTAACATATGTGAAAAAGTTAAAATAGTTAAATATTAAATATTGTTCATATAATTAGTTTTTATAAATGTTTTTTATTGAAAAATTATTATAAATATATAATATAATTAATATATATATTATGTAAAATCTTCATATTGTATTATGTTTTTTTCATTTTTTTTTTCTTCTTTGTCATATAGTATTCTTATCTCCTTTAATAAAATAGATATATTTGTACCCATTTTAGCAGAAATTGGAATAATTGGTAAATGAATTTTTTGTTTTAGTATTTCTAATTTTTTCTATAAATATATAATTCATTATATCAACATTTAATTTTTAAGTAATATTAATTAATGAAAATTATTTTACCATTGTTCCTGGCAAATCCATTTTATTTGCTGCAATAAGAAATAATCTTTTGTTCAGCTGTACATTAAATTCTGTGATTTCATATTTTAAAATTTCAAAATCTCTCCATGGTTCATTAGACGTAATATCAAGAACAAATAATAAAATTTTACAACGTTCTATATGTTTAAGAAATTGTATACCGAGACCTTTATTTTTATGAGAATCAGGTATAAGACCCGGCAAATCAGCAACTTAAAAATTAATAAATCTATTATTAAAAATTTAAATAAAACATTAACTAATAGATTATAGTGCATTATTAACCTGCAATTTGTTCATGATCATCATATAATACCATTCCCAAGTGAGGTTTTAATGTCGTAAACGGATATGCTGCAATTTTTGGTCTAGCTCTAGATATTGTTCTTAACAATGTACTTTTACCTGCATTTGGAAATCCAATCTGATAAAAAAGAATAATATAATAATATTGTTAATTTTTAATTAAATTAAAATCAATAAGAATGTTAATATAATCTTTTTAATTAGTTTCTAGTTACTCACTAATCCTACATGTGCCATGCTACTTATTTCTAATACATATTGTAAATCTTCTCCATTTGCACCATATTCACTTATACGTGGTACTTGATATACATCTGATTTAAAAAATGCATTTCCATGACCACCAGCACCACCTCGCGCAGCAATAAACATCATTCCTTTTTGATTTAAATCAGCTATTATATGTCCTTCTATATTACGTATTATAGTACCTATAGGAACATGTATTATAGTATGTTCTGCATTTTTTCCAAAACAGTTTTTATTATGGCCATTTTCACCATTTTCAGCTTTAAGAACACTAGTTAAGTGAGAGAGATCTCTAACATCAAATACTGCCTGTAAATTTTTAACATATAATATATAAATTAAATATAATATTGTATACATAATTTAAGTATAAAAATGTAATACTATTTTGATTTTTTTAAACAAATTGTTTATTTTTACCTGAAAAATGACATGCCCACCATTTCCACCATCTCCACCATCTGGTCCAGCATTTTCATTTACCCACAATTGCAAAAATGATATATTTCCATCTCCACCTTTTCCACCAATTGTTCTTACCTAAATTTTGATATAAATAAATATTTATAGATATTAGATAAAAAATTAAAGAAAATTATTTAAATTCTTACTTTCTTCAAATCAACAATATTCTTTTCTGTATCACTATTTGCTTTTGGTTTTATTGTACGTAAAGGTTTGGAGATATTTTCTTGTTCTTTAAATCCTTTACAAAATGACTTAAATATATTTTTGTTTATATTCTTATGTCTTTGAATATTTATTATGATATTATACATAATATTTTGTTTCCAAGCAGAATTATATATAATTACATTTTTTATTTGATGAATATAATACATCTGAAAATAATGTTAAAACATATAGATTTTTAAATGGAAATAAATAATAGTTTATTAAATTATAAATTATATTGAGTTGTACTTTTTTTAATATAATATATAACATTGTTATCTTGAGACTGATACATTTAAATTATTTTCCAAAATATTTGCTATTAAATTTTCATGTATATTAATAACTCTTTTTCTATATAAAGGTAAACAATTAGATCTATAACTTATTCTATAAGTTCTTTTTTCTATTTTTTCTGAAGATGCATAAGATCTTATAAAAGCAACATTATTTATAATACATCCTGCATGATTATATAATAACACATAAAATTTAATGGAATCAAATTTTTCATTAATGACAAAAGTTATATCAAATGTATATGTGTGAGTATCTATATTAATGCCATTTATGTTTGTTACAATGTCATTTATATCTGTTATGTTATTTACAATATCATTTATATCTGTCCATGAAAAATTATCATTACTACATGATAGAATATTTATTTTTTTTTTGGGAGCAATATTGTTAAGATTTGGTGATTCAGATTTTATAAATATATGAGTTAAAGCTCCAATAGAATGAAACTGTTTATTTAAACTACGATATCCAGTTACTATATAATTTTGGAAAGATAACCATATAAATGGTTCAATTGCTCTTAATATAAAATTTCCATGTGCTGCCATTTCTGTAATTTTCCATGAATCATCCCAACGTCTTGGTGGATTGTCAATAGATGTACCACCTTGACCTTTGCATAAAGTAACTAATACTTGACCATTATTTTTTAATGATTCTGATATACTTATAAAAAATTGTTTTAATAGTTCTCTATTTTTTTCTATTCGCATTTTACCACCAACATGAGGAAAGTTAAAAATAATTTTATCAAATAATTCTGTTCTTAATATTGGATGTTCTTTTAAATTTGTTGCATCAACTCCTAATAATACACGAATTCCTGAAAAGAAAAGCATAGAATTTTTTATAAACTTAATTATTAAAAAAGAATTATTAAATAAAAATTTTAATTTTTTATTAAAATACTAACCATAATTTTTTAGATATTCTATGTTTTTCTTTCCAAAATTTTGATCAACATTAGTTTCATAACATGTTGCAGTAATATCAATCTTTAAATTGAGATGAAATAATGCCAGAGAAAATGAAAAATTACCTTCTCCAACTAAGAGTACGCGATCACCTTCATTGAATATAGAAACTTTCATTTCAATAAATCGAAATATTGCAATTTAAATGCTTTAAATTATTATTATTAAAATAATAAATTTATTAAAATATTATTATAAAGTATTAATCTTTTATATTAATCTTTTATTAATCTTTAAATATTAATCTTCAAGTATTAAATAACTAACCTTAAAATAAATGTAATATATGAATGCACGTTGTACATTTCAAACACGTACTTAAATTATCAACAAGTACAAATTACCATAAAAATTTGATTTAATAATATAAAGATATATGTTATTAAAAAAAATATTGAAATTTAATCAAATGTTTTTAATTTAATCAAATTCTATTTTATTCAATATTCTATTTTATATATATAATTAAATATTTTTATGTAGTAATATTTATAGAAAAATACTAAAGATATTACTCCATAATTTTTTAAATAAAATAAAATTATTAAGAATTAATTACATTCATATTTTTTCATTAATTTCTTTCATTAATTTGTAAATTTTCTCATATTTTAAAATTATAAAAATAATTGTATATATATAAAATA